TACTAGAAAACAACCAAGCTCATAGAGCACCAAGGATGATCCTTCATTTCAATCCTGAGCTACAAATATTCTCCTTGATTGATACTCCTTATTTTGCCTGCAACAGTTTTGCTCATGGCTGTTTTTCCTCCTCCTTTGCACAGCGCAAGTATGGTGTGGTGCTGGATGAAATCAAGCCCAGGGCTTGTCCAGAGCTCCAGGCCGTCCGGATGTTTGCTGAATACCTCTCCAAAGAGAGCCAGAGGTAAATCTGGGACTTGAGTGTGATAATTCTTGTGTCCTCTTCCCAAAGCTGCAGGGAATTTTATATCAAAGCATCTTTTTGGCTGGCTAAATCTGGCCTGATTCTTTGATTAAGTATAGTCTTTATTAAAACTTTAAAACAAGAAAGCTGAAGCTAAACCAAACCCACAGAGAGTAAACAAGGAAAAAGAAATTGAAGAAAAAGCAAGAAGGGCAAGAGAAGAAAAAAGAAGTTAAAGAAAAATAGAATAGAAAGAAAAGAGTATAAAGCATCGGCTTCTGACATTCTTCACAGCATTTCTAAATATAAATATACTTTGATTTTTTTCTCTCTCTAAAATTACATATTTTTTTTCGTTTTATAATTTATCCTGTCTGGTCATGAAAACTAAGTCACAAGTACATTTTTTAAAGACTAGGTCTACCTATTCTACAAAAATGAACTTGTAGTAAACTAGTTGAAAGGTAGTAGAAATAAGCAAGTTTTTCTGGGAACACAGCTGAAGAAAACTTGAAGTGGTGTGTGGTAAATGCAAGTAGCCCTCGACTTACAAACATTCGTTTAGTGACCAAAGTTACAGCAGCACTGAAAAAAAGTGACAGCAGTTTTTCACACTTACAGCCATTGCAGCATCCTCATCCTCACATGATCAAAATCCAGATGCTTGGCAACTGGATCGTATTTATGACCCTTCCAATGTCCCAGGATCTCATGATCCCCTTTTGCGACCTTCTGACCAGCAAAGTCAACGGGGAAGCCAGATTCACTTAACAACCAGGTTATTAATTAACTGCAGTGATCCGTCTAACCACTGTGGAAAGAAAGGTTATAAAACGGGCACACAACTCACTTAACAGACGTCTCACAGCACGCCATAAATTCTGGTCTCCATCGCAGTCGTAAGCCGAGGACTTCCCATACTTTTCTGACTTCTGCTCTGAGCAACCTTTAGAATAACATGTCTCAGGTGTTCCATATTTTTCATACTCCTCCTGCCGAATTGTTGCGGAAGGAGGTTTGAAAAGCTGCTCGCAGTGAATTTGCAGGCTGCTCCCATTTCGGTGGTGGTGGGGAAATGGACATTGAGGTTTATTTGACCTCTCCCCCCACCTCTTTACAGGGATTCAATTGTGGCAGAATTAGATAAGAAGATGAGCAAGAGCATGGAGGTCACGAACACCACCTTCCTGCTGATGGCGGCTTCGGTCTACTTCCACGACCAGAATCCTGATGCAGCGCTGCGGGCCCTTCACCAGGGCGAAAGCTTGGAATGGTAAGCGGGTTTTGCCCCCCCCCCCCCCCCCATTTTCTCCAATCCGCCATGTGCAATTCCATCGTCGCTTCCCACCAGTTTCTTTAGAACAATTGTTGTCTCCACAAAGAACTTATAACTCATCCCATCGATTGAATCACAAGCTGTACACCCGATAGTTCTCATCCGATATCCGATTGGTAAGAGACACTTTCTGCTCTGAACTGGAAACCTTACGTACTCAAATAATGATGCGTTTCCCGTAGGGGGAGGTTCTTTCCCCCCCCTCTTAATTTAGTGTGTGAATCACCCAAGTAGTCCTCAACGTGCGACCAGTTAGTGATAGTTATGGTGATGATTTAGTGATAGTTATGATGGTGCTAAAAAAGAGAGAGAGAGACTTATGACTTGCTCTTGCACTTATAACCATAACTGTGTCTTTGTGGTCACACAATTAAATTAGGGCACTTGGCATCTGTCACCCTTTTACAGTAGTTGTAGCATCCCCAAGTCCCCCCAGTAGCCATTTGTGACCTTCCCAGCTGTCTTCTGACAAGCAGAGTCGGTGGGGGAAAGCCAGATTGACTGTCAGGATTCCGGCAGTTACCCCCAATTAAATCATGAGTCTCGAGCCAGACTTCCAAAACTTCAAAGGATTTATTGGGAGTTAACATGTCCGGCACTGCCTGGGTGTAGCTGACTCTGAGACACATCATTCGTTGTCACCCTTGACCCTGGTTTTCCCCTACCCCACAGGTGTATCATAATTCATATTCTCCAATGGGACACATCCATAGCCAAGAGTCATCAAACATGCTCTCCAGTTAGATATTTGCCCAGCAGAAACTTCAGTTACCTTGTTACTACCTTTGAAAAACTATTTTATGAGTTGACATGCGCTTTATGCTAGTGCGATTCCCTTAACAATTGTGTGGTGTGTTTAACAATGTGATGATTCAGCCAATGATCACGTCACTTGGCAACAGAAGTTCAAGTCCTAATTGCGGTTGTAAGTGAAGGACTGCCTGTAATACAAGAAGTCAAAGGTCAGAGAAATAAAGTACTGAGGTGTGAAAGTCCATTAAGTGATTTCCTATTCCTAGAAGGAGTTCAGTTGGTGCACAGTATTTACTTATCAAATTTTTATGCCACCCATAGTCACCTTATAGAGGAGATGGACAACATAATAAATAGATTAGTTGGATTGGATGGATGGATGGATGGACGGACGGATGGACAGATTTGTGCAAAGGTTGCTGGCTGGCTATGGTTCCTACCTGCTCCTTGAGCACGAGCCCCTAATGCAGAAGGACCACTTAATTGTACACCAGAGTCATTGATTGAGATGGCAGCCGTAGAAACTGAACAAACAAACTCAGAGCGCATGTGGATTCCCTGTGGTTTGCCTCCACTAAAGCCCTAAAATGCTGTTTTTCTTTCCAGCATGGCCATGACCATCCAGATCCTCCTAAAACTGGATCGCCTGGATTTGGCCCGGTAAGTTTCCCAGCCTGTCAGCATCACCTCTCCTGCCTAACCTTTTTTTTTTTTTAAATTTATTGAAACGAATTGAAATATTTTATTAGAAGCGGGTGGGTTATCTCCTAAAACTTTGGGAAAAATTCTCAACCTTTTTGAATCAACAGCAAAATATTCTGTCATTTCATGGCACTCCAGAAAATTATAGACGGTATACCTTTATATATTTTTAAAAGTGTTAAGAGTTGGTTTCAGAAGAAATGCAATTTTTTTTTTAGCATGAATACTATATTGACTATATGGAGTATACAGAATATAATTTTTTTTTTTTTTTTGAAAACTAACATAAGAGAAAAACCTTGTGGCAAGCTAGAAACAAGCCCATGGCGTACCTATATGTCACAGAATGCTAGTTGAAAATAGCTGCTCTAGGAGCGATTCTGGAGCCTGGAGTCAGTCAGGAGAGGCCTAACTTTGCAAGTGAAAGTTCCCTGTTTAATCAGACTGAAGAAGTGCCTTGGATAAGCAGCGAAACCTTTCAAATCAAAGAGGCGGGAAGTCCAGTTGCTTTGACTCAACTTCCAGACAGCCCCGGTCAATCAATCCCTCTTATTGTCCGTTTTAAATGAGGAGGTTGCAGGCAATGAGTCAGCATAAAATAGGGCACCTTCCATCAGTCGTTTGCCACGCGGCGCCCCAAGTCTTGCAGACAGGCCGTTTCACTCAAGTACCTCCCTCCTCTTTCTCTTCAGAAAAGAGCTTAAGAAGATGCAGGAGCAAGATGAGGACTCAACGCTGACGCAGCTGGCCACTGCATGGGTGAATCTTGCGATGGTAGGTGCCATTTGTGGCAGTTGGGCACTAAGGGAAGCGTCGGGTCCCAAGAACCAAGAACGACACATGGAGTTACTTAAGACTAGCTTCCTTTATTATTGTTCTTCTACATCTGTAGACAGAATCTTGCCAGATGAAAGCAACTATTTGCGTAACTATAGATATATTAGGGCGTGGGTTTCAAACTGGCCACGTCACATTGCATCACGACGTAGCGCGATGGCTTTCCCCTTTGCAGAGCTGAGGTGGGCGTGGCCTGCGCATGACACATCCATTGTCAGTTTGATACCCCTCCTCTCGGGAAAGCAAGGGAGCAGCCACTTTAACCTTCTTCCTATCGACCAAACTTTCCAAGCTTCGCAGCTTCTTGCCTTCTGGAAAGCAGTTCCTCCCACCTGGGAATCCAAGACTATGTTCCATCCAGTGGTGGGATTCAAATTTTTTTTTTTACTACCGGTTCTGTGGGTGTGGCTTGATGGGCGTGGCAGGGAAAAGATCCTGTAAAATCTCCAGTCAGAGGTGGTGTTTGCCGGTTCTCCGAACTACTCAAAATTTCCGCTACCAATTCTCCAGAACTGGTCAAAACCTGCTGAATACCCACCTCCAATTCCATCCCTGGAAGAAGTCGATGTAGCAGGGGGTGAGCTTTTCCAAAGCAAGTCACTGGACCCTGGTGAGGCTAGGGCAGAAATTTTATCTGATCCAATATTCAGCCCCCTGGTGAATTTAACCGGTGGAATAACAGCTACCAGAATCGGCAGGGTTACAGTCCAAGGTTGTCTAGGCAGATGCAGGCTTCATTAAAGTCCTTTGTTGCTTTGCTATCCCATGACAAGTGGCCCTACAACAGCTGGTAAAGCTCCACCCCAAACTTTCCTGAGGGCAGCCACCCACAGTCAGTGCAACGCAGCCCCACAAACTAAAGCCAGTAGTCACCAGAGCTGATTTCACAAGGCAACGGGGGGGAAATCTCTAGTTCAGAAACAAAGTGCGTTGTCCACAAGGCCAGATCCGTAAGTCATAAACAAGGTTCAAGGTCCACAGGGCAAGAATCCGCAGGGCAGAAACACGGTCTGAAGCAGAGTTTACAAACACCGCAAGTGTGTGACAAAGCAAAAATATTGCTCCCAACAAAGACGCCCTACCCTTGTGTTTGTGAGGGCAGGCAGCTTCCTGTCAGTTCAGCTGTCTTCCCCAGTGCTGGTGAGGCCTGGGGCAGCCTCTTCTTCAGCCCCATTGACTCTCCATTCCAGGGGAGACGTGTCAACCCTCTCGGATGGTCTCGATTCCAAGTCCACCTCCAAACCGGGATCCAATGGGGCAAGGACAACCAGCTTACTATTGTTACGCTGGGTACAAATAGCTATTTCCTGGGATTTGTTTCAATGGGGGAGAGGGGGGAACGGCCGTGCCCAAAATCAGTTGATGAGTTACATGGTGTGTTTTTCAATGTTGACAACTTCTAAAACGTATGGACCTAAACTCCCAGAATGCCCCAGTCAGCATGCCGGCTGGGGCATTCTGGGAGTTGAAGTCCGCACATCTTAAAGTTGCCAAGATTGGGAACCCCTTCCTTTAGACAATCCTTCTCCTCCAGCTGATGGTAGTTCTGGTCAACGGAAGTATTTTCACGTTAGGTGATAATCCTGAAATGGTTTAAATCCTTGAACTTACGGTGCAGAGGATTTTTAAGGCACTAACTGCTCATTGTGCTCATTGCAACCTGTTTAAAATAAGTGTTCCTCCTCCTCCTCCTAAGGATTTCCCAATGTCTTGCTCTGCAGGGTGGTGAAAAATTGCAGGACGCTTATTACATCTTCCAGGAGATGTCGGAGAAGTGGTCCTCCACCCTGCTGCTCCTGAACGGCCAAGCTGCTTGCTACATGGCTCAGGGCAAGTGGGAAGATGCCGAAGGGGTGCTGCAAGAGGCTCTTGACAAGGTGGGCTCTTCCCCAGAAATCTGGCTGAAAGGCAGCCCTTGCAAAGCCAGGGGGTGAGAATCTTGTTGTTCAGTCGCTAGGTCATGCTCAACTCGCCGCGATCCTATGGACCGTAGCACCATGTTACACCTGGACCCCTTTCCTCCACTGTCTCCTAAAGCTTCTCAAAGTCACGTTCCTTGAGTTGATGACACTATCTAACCACCTCATCTTCTCCTGTTCCTTTCTCCTTTTGCCTTCAGTCTTTCCCAAGATCAGAGCCTTTTTCAGTGAGTTCACTCTTCTAATTGTATGGCCAAAGCATCTAAGCCAGGGGTGTCCAACCTTGGCAACTTTAAGACTTGTGGACTTCAACTCCCAGAGTTCCTCAGCCAGCTTAGCTGGCTGAGGAACTCTGGGAGTTGAAGTCCACAAGTCTTAAAGTT